GTGCTAAATTCAGCTTTTCTTTGTAAAGATCAGCTGTTTACAGTAGCTTCCTTATTACACTTTAATTTTCGATTTTGCTCCTTTGAATGCTGCTTTCACTTCTTCCTGTAAATATCTTTATATGTGTGGTTGTTTTTCTTTAAATGTTGTGGGGAAGCGAATGCAGCAGCTGCTTATGGTGCTTCAGAATTTGAAGTAGTCAGATTTCATGGGACACACTTTTTCCAAAGAAAATTGGTTATAGTGGAAAAAGTGGGAATAATTTGCCTCATTAGGAGGCTGTCAGATGGCAATCGATGTACCCTGTGCCCCAGGCTTTCATTTTAACAGGTTACAAAAGTCTCGTTCAGAAAGGTGTAAAGGAAAGCAGGAGCCTTTTTCTCTAGAGCTTGGGCAACCCTTAAAGCTCACTTACTTGCTTTGGGAGCTGATGCTGTCTCTTTGAAGGGTCCCTGACAGGTCTGAGCAGAGAGCATGCTGCAGCGGTGGCACCAATGATGGGAGCTGCAGCTCTTCAGAGAGTTGTTGAACGCGTTTCCAGATCTTGTGGCAAGCCTTGTCCAAGCTATCCTGGGGAGTGTTGTTGTGGATCCAGATGTGCCTAGGGAAAGGTCCCAGTGGGAACGGACCTTCAGATGTTACTATCTGAGCTGAAAACTTATTCCTACCAGGGAGCATCTTTCAGCCTCTTCGCATTCACAAACAGTCTTTTTGAAAGAGGTGGTTTGTGTTGGTAATGAAGAGCCGTGGCAACCGCGGAACCATGGGGTCTGGCAGCTGGCAGGGAGGGTAACAGCTGGAAATGTCTACTGGGCTTCCAGCAGCAGGAATGGAAATGGCAGCGTTGTGTCCTTTCACACGGTTGAGAGCATTCTCCGGCATAAATTTCTAAACAGACTCCAGTCTTCAGCATTCAGCTGTCCCTGCCTCCCTGTACCTGAGTGCTGTGTCACTTCTCGTGTGTCTGCAGGTGGCTGAGCCCCATGGAGTGCACAGACGACTGTCCCTCTGGTCCTTTTCCCTTCTCTTGCCCTCAGTCCCTCATCTTTCCGCTGGCATGAGATGAAGAGCAGAGGCCTTGTGTGAGAGAAGCGGTGCATATAGGGGTGTTCCTGCTTTAGCACTTACTCTTATTTTGCCATGGCCCAAAGAGGAGCAGCAGCATCCCTGTCTGAGGCCCATCTGGAACACATTTCATCCCTGCTCGAGCAATTTGTGTCCTTGAAACTCTTCGCAGCCTGCTCTAGATCCATCTTCCACAACAAGTTGCATAGAAGTCTGCTCTATCAGGAAATAGGAGGAGGAGGGACGGATTTTGACTTACATCTCACAGCAGCTGAACCTTTTTTCTACTTGGCCACCTTCTGTTCATGCTGTGAACATTGTTGAGCCTGTGTGCCACCTAGGTTAGCTGGGCCTGCAGGGCTGCTGCTACTGCAGTATTTCTAGTTGCAAGCTTCTGTAACTTCTCCACATTTCCAGAAGCACAGTGGCACTTCTGCTCCTCTGTGCTGGAGGGGGAGAACATCTTCAGTCACCTTGTAAGCCCTTCTACTGCCATGGAAAAAGAACTTGTTCTCAGTTTTGGAGCTTGCACGTTTTTTGGCATCAGTGCTACAGAATTTTGCTTTGGGTACTGTTTCTTTTCAACATCCTCTCTGGCATTTTGGGTGCTGGGCTATAAAGCTTGATCTAGGTATGAAAATATAAGGCAAAGTATTTTTTTTAAATATAAGATACATACACGCCTTCAGATGCAACAGCTGTGTATTGAATTCTTTGCTACCAAAATCATTATGCTGTACACTTAAGATCTTGGCTCTGTACTTATCTCTTTTCAGATAATCCAGAACTGGACTCTCCTGTCATGTAGGTTAAATAGCGACTGCAGTTTCTTGCTAATAGAGGCATTATTCATAGCTATCTCTTAACTCATGGTTATGCCCAGATAAATGCTCTTTTCCCCCCAATAGTGATAATATGCGATTAAGAGAGAATAAATGAGGTTGCATGACATTTACTAAGATGTTTTGGGTTTTTTTTTTCCCCATACCCAATTACTAATTGTGGTACTTAAAATTTTAGGGAAAACGATCATGCTCCTGGTATGAAATGCCTTCTGTAGTTCCTCATATCACCAGGGTGGCTGTATTTGTGAGCCAGGGAACCGTCCGCATTCATTGGAGCATGATGTGTGCAGGAGAGAGAAAGAAGAGCCCTATGGATGTGGCTTTGTGTCAAAACTAGAGGGAAAACCAGGTTTTGGCACTCTGAAAGTCCTTGATTTTTGTCAGTCTGTTTCTCTTCCTCCAGGAAGGTGTTGTGAGGACTTGGTTCATACCTGTGAACTGCTCTTGGCTCTGGGTTAAACTGAAACTTGGGGATATTGCAATCGCTGTCACTTATTTTATCTGGAGGAATCACAAAACTGATCAGACTGTTTTTTGTCAGGGAGGGTGAGGTACTGTGTGATAAATGGAATAAAAAGTCAGCCAAATATTTGCAGAGAATGTGGAAGGCAGTGAAGTCGAAAGGCAGCAGACTCATTTCAGCCCGGGCTCTGACTGCGGGTGGCAGTGCAGAGCAGAACTTGTCTCCTGGTGGGTGCTTACACTGAGGATGGGATTTCTCTTTTAGCAGGGAGGTAATTTTGCAAGGTGGGAAGCGAAGTGAGTGGTAGGGCTTGGAAGTGGGCTGTTAACCAGAACCGGCGAATGCCTCCTTGTTAGAGATGGGTTGTAATCAAAGTAGTGGGTGATTGCAGTGATGGTTTCTGCTGTATTCATCAGTCTTGTCCATTTAGCAAATAAATGCAGGATTTTTTGTGAGAGTTAGACCCTAAACCTTAGTGGTTTTGAGAAGGAAACTTACTTGGGAGGAAACCCTTGATTTGAAATAGATATGATTTTATTAACCGGGAATAAAGTGGGATTGTATCTCCTCAATGACTTTATTATGCCTGTAGATTGTTCTTGGTGCAGGGCTAGCTGACTTTGGCTCAGCCTGTACCCTGCTGGTGAGCAGCAACCAAGTCACATCTTCAGCTGAATGCAGTTTTGGGATGGGGGGGATTCTTTGAGGTGAATAGCTGTATAAGGGAAAACCAGTGTATGGAGCTGTGAAGTGTGGTACCCTGTTCTCTGATCCTTTTGTATTTGGATCTGTGCCTTTGAACAATAAGGTCTGTTTGAATAGGACACTGCGGTTTAAACAGACATAAAGCAACTCTTTCATGTAACAGCCCTGGTTGCCTTGGCTCTTGGCATCGGTTCACAGTGTAGGCAGTGGAAGGATTGAAATGCAGAGGGGACACAGGGAAAGCGAGTGAGAAAGAGGATTGATTTGAGGGTGGAGGGACAGATTTGCAAGCCCTCGATATAATTTGTTTTTTAGCTGTCAAATAAGCTCATTCAAGGCGACCGGAACAAGACTGAAGAAGGGGGTTTTGCAGCAAGAAACTGCAGCAAATGCAAAACACGAAGGCAGGGGGATGGGTGGCGAGTTGAGCCACCAGCCCT